GGATATCGCGAGTGTACCTCATATACAGACAGTCTCCACAAAATTGCCCTTGGACCATGTTGCATTTGCTGCAATGAGTGCGATGCCCTAATGTTTTTTGCCTGTAAGATATGATTGATACATAGCATTTTCCACTAATTAAACAAAGCTGTTCTTGCTTTCTAATTCAGTTCTAATTTCAATAAACCAAACATACTCATCATGTCAAAGATTAACAAAATCAGAAAACAATGCACAAACCTGCATTGATGGCACGTTTTTCCCTTTACTGGATCATAAATTCGTTTCCCATCCTTACCATATCCATCCACAAACAGCGTCCAGATCTTCTCTGTACTGCCCAACCGCTTCTCATGCTCTTCCGAGTATATCTCCGGCCTCGAACCATCTTCAAGAATCACGCCTTCATCCTCTGAAAACTTGCTTTTTCTCTCCACTCGAAGTTCAGAGTAAGTCACTGGCGTCACATTCTGTAACCTAAATCCGCAAAAGAAAATCACAATAGACAAGATTAAGAGGAAAAAAAAACATAATATTCTCAATTTCATGGCAAGATCAGAGAACGAGTCCAGTCGGTTCATGTTAGGGCTAAGAAAGTGAGATTCATGATTCGAAGAGAACCTGGATGATCGGCGGACGGCTACTGCCTGCGGGAGGTTGAATGAAGGTGGAGAAGCTTTCGGATTAAGCGATCTTCGGCGATTTTGCCTCGAAGGAGCGGATGACTTGAGCTTGAGAGAGAGGTCAAGGATGCCTAGCTTCTGCATACGCTCCAAATTCTCTCTGATTCTCAACTCTCTGGACTGCTCGTACTGAGAAACCTCCGGCATTTGGACGGCGGAAGGACGGTCGATTTCCATTTGGAGTGGTTCCGATGAGGATTTTGGAATTGGGGATTTCTCTGTGCCTGAAGGTTCTGTTATTTCCCTCGAAAGTGATCCTCCCGCTGTCTTTGTTAGTGCGCTCCATTTAAACTCTTAACGGTCATATTTTGTAACATATAATATTTTCCATTTTAAAGTTTATAATTAAAAGATTATAATAGTAAAACATTTATAACTTTACCTGATTCAATATAATTTACTTAGTATGTATAACAAATGATTTTTTAAAATATAAACTAAGTTTATATTCGTAAGGCCGATCACACACACAAATCAAAAAATGGTTGTTACATCATCATTGTCGGATAGCCACTTTAGTTTCTGATTATAGATACTATAAAGATCTTTCTTCGTGTTTGTGTATCACTTCCATTGTTATCACGATACTCGAAGGGCGTAAATCACTTCCCCTATTACAAATTCATGTATTTTTTTTAATAGCATTTGTGTTAAAATTTTATACATATAAAAGTTAGTAAAAAGCTATATGTGTTGTAGTGTCATCTAATACCCGATATTCTATTTCTAGACATTTTATTTACTCTAAACAAAACTTCAAATCAAACGACGTCTTCTGAGATAATTGGTGACATTAAATTTGAATAGACAACAACTTCACGTCACCTTTCTTAATATAGCTAGTGATTTTGAATTAACGTATTGTTTAACGATAATCATATTAAATTCAGGATAGAAGCTAAATCGTCTTTGAGTTTATTTAAAATTATATTAAAAATTCAATGTTGAAGTAAATTTACACATTTGTTTATTTAAAATTAAACTAAAAATTCAATACAATCCATTCTCCTCTACAAATTCTTGGTAACTATGATTCCAACCCAAGATAAGATTTTTAACTCAACTCAAGAGTTTTATTGTAACTGTCTATGCCCACCGCTAGCAGATATTGTTCCCTATTTCCACACCCTTGTAAAGGGTGTTTCGTTCTCCTCCCCAACCAATGTGGGATATCACAATCCACCCCCTTCGGGGCCTAGTGTTCTCGCTGGCACTCTTTCCTTCTTCCAATCAATGTGGGACCGCCACCAAATCCACCCCCTTCGGGGCCCAGCGTCCTTACTAGCACACCGCCTCGTGTCTACCCTCATTCGAGAAATAGCGAGAAGGCTGACACATCGTCCGGTGTCTGGCTCTGATACCAATTGTAACCCAGGCCACCGCTAGCAAATATCCTCTTTGAGCTTCCCCTCAAGGCTTTAAAACGCGTCTTGAGAAAAATTTTCATACCCTTATAAGAGGGTTTCATTCTCCTCTCCAACGAATGTGAGATATCACGTTTATTAATAGGAGTTTGAAAGAATTTTAGACAAATTTAAAATGATATGTTTTAATAAATAACATTTTTAAAATCATATTTAAAATCACCATTTATATTTATTCAAGTTTCAAATATATATATTGGTCTTTTCATTGTTAACGAGTCAATGACTTTGGCTTAGGCCAATAAGGTAAGTGATCTTACTTTTTGAACTCCTTCGAGTTAGATTGGATGTATTATATGTTGTATGAATAACACGTACTCTGGGACTTAGCTACATGTTATTTACTTGTATGATGTGATGTTTATGAGCTTTTTATGATGCATGTACTTCCAGTATGTCAATCTATGTATGCTAGATACCATGTTGTATGTCAATCTGTGTAGTTCAATCCTGCATGAGGGCATACACATTTTGTATTTATGTTGTTCGCTATTGTCGGTCAAGGTGGGAGAGCCTATAGAATTGCCGTTATAGCTCATGGTAGAGCGTCCTTCTTGTAAACTGAAGGTCGGTAAGTTCAATCCTGCATGAGGGCATACACATTTTGTATTCATGTGTTCGTTATTGTCGGTGAAGGTGGGAGAGTTCATATAGAATTGCCAAGATTGAGAGTCAAGTTATACCTAAATCCATGATTCATGCTCGTGTTGAGAGTTGAACTCAAGACCTCCCACTTACTAAACAAGTGCTCTAATCAACTAAGCTACAAGAGCCACATGAAAAAGTAGACATATCGAACATGGAAACGGCAAACGAACTAACATTCAAACGTAAAATAGATACCAAAATCACCCAACCGAACTAACAACCACACATAAACAGGTTATACCCAAATCTATGATTCATGCTCTTGTTGAGAGTTGAACTCAAGACCTCTCATGCTCTTGTTGAGAGTTGAACTCAAGACCTCCCACTTACTAAACAGATGCGCTAACCAACTGAGCTACAAGAGCCACATGAAAAAGTAGACATATCGAACATGGAAATGGCAAACGAACTAACATTCAAACGTAAAATAGATACCCAAATCACCAACGTAAAAATGAGTTATACCCAAATCTATGATTCATGCTCTTGTTGAGAGTTGAACTCAAGACCTCCCACTTACTAAACGGGTACTCTAACCAACTGAACTACAAGAGTCACATCAAAAGCTAACATATCGAACATAGAACCGACAAACGCACTAACATAAATAATGCAATTAATAAAATGTCAAGCTCACCATAGCTTGAATACAACTGTATAAAGGTTTGTGTGCTTCTTAGCTCTCCTCCTTGTAATTGGACTGGACCGGACCTTGAGGTATGAAAATTCCTTGGTCGTGGTTGACAATAATATTGCTCTTGTTGAGAGTTGAACTCAAGACCTCCCGCTTACTAAACGGGTGCTCTAACCAACTGAGCTACAAGAGCCACATCAAAAGCTAACATATCGAACATAGAACCGGCAAACGCACTAACACCTTGGTCGTGCTTGACAATAATATTGCTCTTCTTGAGAGTTGGACTCAAGACCTCCCGCCTACTAAATGGGTGCTCTAACTAACTGAGCTACAAGAGCCACATCAAAAGTTAACATATCGAACATAGAACCGGCAAACGCACTAACATTCAAACGTAAAATAGATACCCAAATATATATCATTGGTTGACAATAATTGTTGCTCTTGTTGAGAGTTGAACTCAAGACCTCCCGCTTACTAAACGGGTGCTCTAACCAACTGAGCTACAAGAACCACATCAAAAGCTAACATATCAAACATGGAACCGGCAAACGAACTAACATTAAAAACGTAAAATAGATACCCAAATATATATCATTGGTTGACAATAATGTTGCTCTTGCTAAGAGTTGAACTTAAGACCTCCCGCTTACTAAGCGGGTGCTCTAACCAATTGAGCTACAAGAGCCACATGAAAGAGTAGACATATCGAACATAGAAACAGGAAACAAACTAACATTCAAACGTAAACTAGATACCCAAATCTGTGCTCTAAGCAACTGAGCTACATGAAAGAGTAGACATATCGAACATAGAAACAGGAAACAAACTAACATTCAAACGTAAACTAGATACCCAAATCTGTGCTCTAAGCAACTGAGCTACATGAAAGAGTAGACATATCGAACATATAAACGGCAAGGAACATATAAACGGCAAGCAAAGTAACATTCAAACGTAAAGTAGATACCCAAATCTATAATCTCATAACCATAATATTTCTTTTGTTTAGAGTTGAACTCAAGACCTCCCACTTAGCTACATCAAAGAGTAGACATATTGAACATATAAACGGCAGACATAAAAATAGATACCCAAATATATATCGGCAGACATAAAAATAGATACCCAAATATATATCATTGGTTGACAATAATGTTGCTCTTGGCTAAGAGTTGAACTTAAGACCTCCCGCTTACTAAGCGAGTGCTCTAACCAACTGAGCTACAAGAGCCACATGAAAGAGTAGACATATCGAACATAGAAACAGGAAACAAACTAACATTCAAACGTAAACTAGATACCCAAATCTGTGCTCTAAGCAACTGAGCTACATGAAAGAGTAGACATATCGAACATATAAACGGCAAGGAACATATAAACGGCAAGCAAAGTAACATTCAAACGTAAAGTAGATACCCAAATCTATAATCTCATAACCATAATATTTCTTTTGTTTAGAGTTGAACTCAAGACCTCCCACTTAGCTACATCAAAGAGTAGACATATTGAACATATAAACGGCAGACATAAAAATAGATACCCAAATATATATCGGCAGACATAAAAATAGATACCCAAATATATATCATTGGTTGACAATAATGTTGCTCTTGGCTAAGAGTTGAACTTAAGACCTCCCGCTTACTAAGCGAGTGCTCTAACCAACTGAGCTACAAGAGCCACATGAAAGAGTAGACATATCGAACATAGAAACAGGAAACAAACTAACATTCAAACGTAAACTAGATACCCAAATCTGTGCTCTAAGCAACTGAGCTACATGAAAGAGTATACATATCGACGAACATATAAATGGCAAGGAACATATAAACGGCAAGCAAAGTAACATTCAAACGTAAAGTAGATACCCAAATCTATAATCTCATAACCATAATATTTCTTTTGTTTAGACCTCCCGCTTACTACATAGAAACAGGAAACAAACTAACATTCAAACGTAAACTAGATACCCAAATCTGTGCTCTAAGCAACTGAGCTACATGAAAGAGTATACATATAACATATAAATGGCAAGGAACATATAAACGGCATTCAAACGTAAAGTAGATACCCAAATCTATAATCTCATAACCATAATATTTCTAAACATTTCTTTTGTTTAGAGTTGAACTCAAGACCTCCCACTTACTAATCCAGTGCTCTAACCAACTAAGCTACATCAAAGAGTAGACATATTGAACATAGAAACGGCATACATAAAAATAGATACCCAAATATATATTGGTTGACAATAATATTGCTCTTGGTTACGAAGCAGGTGCTCTAACCAACTGAGTTACAAGAGCCACATGAAAGAGTAGACATATCGAACATAGAAACGGCAAGCTACAAGAGCCACATGAAAGAGTAGACATATCGAACATAGAAACGACAAACGAACTAACATTCAAACGGAAAATAGATACCCAAATCTATGATCTCATAACAATAATATTGCTCTTGTTAAGAGTTGAGAACTCAAGACCTTCCTGCTTACTAAACCGGTGCTTTAACCAACTAAGCTACAAAAGACACATCAAAGAATAGACGTATCGAACATAGAAACGACAAACGATCAAGACCTCCCACTTACTAAACGGGTGCTCTAACCAACTAAGCTACAAAAGACACATCAAAGAATAGACATCTCGAACATAGAAACGACAAACGATGAAGACCTCCCACAAAGAGTAGACATATCAAACATAGAAACAAAAAACCTAACCATTCAAACGTAACAATAATATTGCTCTTATTGAGAGTTGAACTCAAGACCTCACGCTTACTAAACGGGTGCTCTAGCCAATTGAGCTACAAGAGCCACATTAGAAAGTAGATATATCGAACATAGAAATGACAAACGAATTAACATTCAAACGTAAAATAGATACCCAAATCTACGATCGCATTGGTAAATAATAATATTGCTATTGTTGAGAGTTCAACCTCCCGCTTACTAATCGGGTGCTCTAACCAACTGAGCTACAAAAGCCACATCAAAAAGTAGACATATCGAACATAGAAATGGTAAACGAACTAACATTCAAACATAAAATAGATACCCAAATTTACGATCTCATTGGTGAATAATAATATTGCTTTTGTTGGGAGTTGCACTCAAGACCTCCTACTTATTAAACGGGTTCTCTTATCAACTGAACTACAAAAGTAGACATATCGAACATAGAAACGACAAACTAACTAACATTCAAACGTAAAATAAATACACAAATCTACGATCTCATTTGTTAATAATAATATTACTCTTCTTGTTGAAAGTTGAACTCAAGACCTCCCGCTTACTAAACTTCCTGCTTACTAAACGAGTGCTCTAACCATCCAATCACCTTCTTAGGATAGTCTTCTCTGGAAACATAGAGTGAAATGATTGGTTCCACTCATGATTTTTTGTGCTTGCATCTGACCCTAATAGCGGGGTTATTTACTGAGTATTTCTTAAAAATACTCAAACCATATGTTATTTTTATTTTCGAGGTAAAATCAAGACTCCCTTGTATGGTTGACGGTGGTATCGCAATGTAGGAGACCATGACACATGAATAGGGTAGTTTGCATTTAAATTTGGTAGACTATAAGATAGTATACGTTAATATGCATTAAATTCGTAGTGTATAGGTTAGTATAGGACGTTCTTGCTTTATTTTATTTTTTGTTAAATTGTTGAATGGCCTTTCCCATAAACATGTAAGTCCATGGCTGTATTTTTTTTTCATAAAATTTTAAATGAATTATTTTTACATAAAATGACTGATATATATACAATAGCAACGGTAGGATGAATATAAATCTAGGTTTGTTACCGTTACAGTTGGTATCAGAGCTCTAAGCATAAAATTCTATAAACTGGCCTACCACATAGGCTAAGCATGCTTCCATGGCCTTGCAATGAACGTTTCATCATCATCTAATCTGGTAAGATAATAAATGATGTTGTTATGTTATGATTGATTATGCATCACATGTGAGTATATATATAGATGTATTAATGATTCACAATAGGTTTAGATTTATCAAAATTTGTGTTATGAGAAAATACTCGTATTATAGAAAAAATCCATCACGAATCAGTTGGAAAAACACGTTTCATTCATGCTCCAAAAGGGTTGGAGTCGACTTTAAATTTATTTCGAACTAAATAAAATTGGAGGTTATGCAAACCTACGTTAAAGAAATTTTCAAGTTTAAACGGTTTTGATTTATTTTAAATTGTGGGGTTGTTTATTTTAAATGGTGCAAAACTTTATTGTATTTTATTTTTAATTTATTTTCTTGTCTTTTTCTTTTTGATCAACTTACAAGATTCTACACATAAAAAAACTGAGTCGTAACTAATTGGTATCAGAGCAGGCAGTTTTAGGTTTAGTAGAGTTGTCTAGGCTGAGAGTTGGGTATTAATGTTAATTGCTCTTATACCTTAGTTGTAGAGTGTCAATCTTGTACATTAACGGTTTGTAGTTCAATCTTGCATGAGAACATACACATTTTTATCTCACAATATTCTACATTTTGTATTCATGTGTTCACTAATTATCGGTCAAGATGGGAGAGTGCTCGAAAGTAGTTGCGTAGTCCAGACAAGGTCAGGGCATCGTATATAAGCTTAAAATGGGTTTTAGGTGTTGTAGAACTGTTAAGTTTGAGAGTCGAGTTTTACTACTAATAGGCCTTATAGTTTAGTGGAAGAGTGTTAGCTCTGTAAATTGAAGGTCGGTAGTTTAATCTTGCATGAAAGATACACATTTTTGTATTCGCTACATCTACATTTGAGAAGTTGGGTTTTAGGTCCCGTAGAATTGTCAAGATCAATAGTAATAACGTTTTAATAGTAATAACCCAGTCAAGTTTAAATAGTAAAAACCCTTCTCACTCAGTGGCAGAGTGTTAGTCAGTTTGTAGTTCAATATTGCATGAGGGTGTACTCATTTTTATTCTCACTACAATGAATCAAGGGGGGAGAGTTCCTATAGAATAGCTAAGGTTGAGAGTCGAGTTTTAATAGTAATAACTCTTAATGACTCAACAGTTTTAATATTGTCGGTCAAGGTGGGAGACTTTCTATAGAATTGCCAAGGTTGTCGAGAGTTGAGTTTTAATATTAATAGCCCTTATAGCTTAGTGGTAGAGCATTAGTCTTGTAAATTGAAGGTTTGTAGTTCAATCCTACATAAGGGCATACACATTCATGTGTTCAATATTGTCGGTCAAAGTGGGAGAGTTCCTATAGAATTGCCAAGGTCTCGAGAGTCAAGTTTTGAAAACAATAGCCCTTATAGCTCAGTGGTAGAGCGTTAGTCTTGTAAACTGAAGGTCTGTAGTTCAATCCTGCATGAGGGCATTACACATTTTGTATTCATGTGTGGGAGAGTTCCTATAGAATTGCCAAGGTCTTGAGAGTCAAGTTTTGAAAACAATAGCCCTTATGGTTCAGTGGTAGAGCATCAGTCTTGTAAACTGAAGGTCTGTAGTTCAATCCTGCATGAGGGCATTACACATTTTGTATTCATGTGTGGGAGAGTTCCTATAGAATTGCCAAGCTCTTGAGAGTCAAGTTTTGAAAACAATAGCCCTTATAGCTCAGTGGTAGAGCATCAGTCTTGTAAACTGAAGGTCTGTAGTTCAATCCTGCATGAGGGCATTACACATTTTGTATTCATGTGTGGGAGAGTTCCTATAGAATTGCCAAGGTCTTGAGAGTCAAGTTTTGAAAACAATAGCCCTTATAGCTCAGTGGTAGAGCGTTAGTCTTGTAAACTGAAGGTCTGTAGTTCAATCCTGCATGAGGGCATTACACATTTTGTATTCATGGGTGGGAGAGTTCCTATAGAATTGCCAAGGTCTTCAGAGTCAAGTTGAGTTCCTATAGAATTGCCAAGGTCTTGAGAGTCAAGTTTTGAAAACAATAGCCCTTATGGTTCAGTNATAGCCCTTATAGCTCAGTGGTAGAGCGTTAGTCTTGTAAACTGAAGGTCTGTAGTTCAATCCTGCATGAGGGCATTACACATTTTGTATTCATGGGTGGGAGAGTTCCTATAGAATTGCCAAGGTCTGGAGAGTCAAGTTTTGAAAACAATAGCCCTTATAGTTCAGTGGTAGAGCATCAGTCTTGTAAACTGAAGGTCTGTAGTTCAATCCTGCATGAGGGCATTACACATTTTGTATTCATGGGTGGGAGAGTTCCTATAGAATTGCCAAGGTCTTGAGAGTCAAGTTTTGAAAACAATAGCCCTTATAGTTCAGTGGTAGAGCATCAGTCTTGTAAACTGAAGGTCTGTAGTTCAATCCTGCATGAGGGCATTACACATTTTGTATTCATGTGTGGGAGAGTTCCTATAGAATTGCCAAGGTCTTGAGAGTCAAGTTTTGAAAACAATAGCCCTTATGGTTCAGTGGTAGAGCATCAGTCTTGTAAACTGAAGGTCTGTAGTTCAATCCTGCATGAGGGCATTACACATTTTGTATTCATGTGTGGGAGAGTTCCTATAGAATTGCCAAGGTCTTCAGAGTCAAGTTTTGAAAACAATAGCCCTTATAGCTCAGTGGTAGAGCGTCAGTCTTGTAAACTGAAGGTCTGTAGTTCAATCCTGCATGAGGGCATTACACATTTTGTATTCATGGGAGTCTTGTAAACTGAAGGTCTGTAGTTCAATCCTGCATGAGGG